TCCCCTTTTTGATGTTGTCAAAGGGGGAGAAATATTGTGAGTATACATTTATATGCATGTGTATTATCTTTATTTCCTTCATGCATATATTCCTTTTTGTAAATTGTTTGTCATCATCAAAAAGGGGGAGATTGTTGGCCTTCTTGTTTTGATGATGTTTAACAAATAATTTACCACTAATGTTGTTTGTCTAGTATTTGTGTTTTCTTATTTATTATAGACAAACAACGTGGTTGGAGGATGGATGGATTGCGCCATAACGACGATATCAAATGGAGGTTGGCGGAATTGTGGAGTGAAGCAACATACAATTCAAGTTAAAGATCAAGTTCAAGCTTCATCCGCAAAGTGTACCAAGTCAAGCTTATTGAAGATCAAGATCGGCTTGGGTAATCTAGTTTAGGTTTTATATTATGTGTGTTAAGTACCTTAAGCTCAATATCATATACACACACGTATTTGGTTTCTATGTATATATATATAGTTATATATATACATGCATGATTTTGAGTTTTCATGTTTTGAACACTTTTGCAAAATAATGAGATTTCACAATTGGGAAATGCAAATTGGAAAATTCTTTTTGTAACATGCTCAAAATATTATTTGCAAACATTTCTCAAAGTTTTATCAAGTTTGAAATTGATTTGTTATGTTTAAAGGAATTTACAAATTCACGTTTTCGTTCGTGCACATGTTCGTGCATGTTTTACAAAACTGATGAGTTTTTACAAATGGGAAGTGATATTTGAAATATTCTTTCTCTGACATGTTTATCTACATGTTTATAAACATTCCTCCAGTTTTTACTATTTTTGGAGTTGATTTACTATGCCTAATTGATTTTACAAAATCGTGTATCACAGCAGATTTTTAGAAACTGTATTTTTGTGTTCAAACATTAATTTCTCTCAACTGGGAAAAGTTTTTTCAGAAATTCTTTCTCTGAAATGTTATTCTACATGTCTAAAACATTCCCACAAAANTTTTGTTATTTTCAATTGAATTTACAAAACCGTATTTTCTGCAGTTTTTTTAGAAACTGTATATCTGTGTTCAAACATTTATTTCTCTCAACTGGGAAAAGATTTTTCAGAAATTCTTTCTCTGAAATGTTATTCTACATGTCTAAAACATTCCCACAAAATTTCATAATTGTTGGAGTTTATTTACTATTTTAAATTAATTTTACAAAATATCTACGCACTGCTACAGTACTCCGGTCGACCGGAAATGTCTCTGGAGCTTTTTTCAGGTTTGTACACACCATGCAGCAGAGAGTTGGTCGGTCGACCGGTCCGGTCGACCGAAAAGCTCCATCGGTCGACCGCACCGGTCGACCGGATAAGTGTTTGCTTGATTTCCTGTTTTCGACCTGGATAACGGTCGACCGAACTTTCCGTCGGTCGACCGAATTTTTCCATCGGTCGACCGACAGAATTTCCGGTCGACCGACAATCTAGCCGTTGTCTTCTAACGGCTATTTTCCTGAGTTGTTTGCTGGGGCTGTTTTGTCATTTGGCTTGGGGGTTTTGGCTGAGCTTTGAGTGGGTATATATACCCCATTGCTGATGTCTTTTCAAGTGAGCCAAGAGAGTTTAAAAACAAGTTTAAGAGAGTTTTAATCAAGGGTTTATGTTTGGTTTAAGTGTGTTTATAAGCTTTTAAGCATTTGAGTGTTTTGGTTTTGTGAATCACTTCCACAAGAGCTTGAGGAGATCATCTATTGGTGTTTGAGCATCCAACTCTTCTCCTTCCACTCTTGATCTATTGAGAAGTTTTCTAAACTCAATCTAGCTTCATATTTTATATTGTTTGATTATCTTTTTATTAAGCTAGTGTTCATATTGAGTTTAGTTGATTTTATTATCTCTTTGTTCACACACAACCTATTGAGCTTATTGTATTTACATTCATAGTATAATTTTGGGTTGTGAGATTAGTGACTTAGAGTTGTGCTTAATTGAGTTCTCACCTTGTTTAGAGAACAAATCATTTGATTTATATTGTGCTTATTGTGAGGATCCACTTGTAATACACTTGTACACCGAGAGAAGTGTGTGGTGAGAGACGGGGTCGAATCCAAGAGGAGTGGCGTCGGTTGACGTGCCTAGGGAGAGGTTGTAACCGAGCACTTGAGGAGGAGGACACGGGCTAGGACCAACACTTAGTGTGTGAGGTGTGATTACATAGTGATTGTATTGTGAGGTGTAAACGTTGTTCGGGTGAACGTAGAAAACCCGGTTGTGATAGTGGAGATCTCCTCGAGGTGAGGAGCGGGGACGTAGGTCGTGGGGACCGAACCTCGTAAACATATCGTTTTGTTTGTGATTACATTGGCGTTCTTATTCTTGTTTTCATATCTTATATCGCCTTTGTGTATTGCTCATCATATTACCCTATCACTTGTGTAGATTGTTTATTTTACCCTTGTGTTAGTTCATATATCCTTGCTCATATATTTGTAATATCTCATTGATAGGATATATTCATTTGTTCATATTGCTTATCCTAGCTTACGTATCTTGTTGTATTTTATACTTGCTAGGATAACTTATTAATTAGTTTTAATTGGCATTTAATCGGATTAGATTAGCATAAGACCCTAATCACCCCCCCTCTAGGGTCTAACAAACTCCATTCATTCCCTCAACATTCTGGAAGAAAGCAGACCCCTCCATACACCCGAAATCAATCTTAGAATTTCCCTCATTAACAATCTCTCCTCGCTTGCCAAGCAAGAAGAGACCTACTGGAAACAAAGGTCTAGACTTCAGTGGCTGAGAGAGGGCTCCTCGCTTGCCAAGCAAGAAGAGACCTACTGGAAACAAAGGTCTAGACTTCAGTGGCTGAGAGAGGGAGACTCCAATACCTCCTTCTTCCACAAAATAGCCTCCCACCATAGGAGAGAAAATTTCATTCCTCATATCACCTTCAACAACACTCTTATCTTCTCTGAGGAGGAGAAAAAACATGCCTTCTTCCTTTTCTTCTCAGACCTTTTCAAAGCTAAACCCATCACCCCTCTTCAGTTAGACTGGAGCCATTTATACCCTCAGCCTAACCCCTACCTCCACTCTTTAGACATCCCCTTCTCAGCATCTGAAATCAAAGTTGCAGTCTTTGGTCTTCACCCAGACAAAGCCACAGGTCCTGATGGATTCACCATTCTTTTCTACCAATCCTTTTGGGAAACCCTCAAACCAGACATCCTAGCTTTTTTTAGACACCTCTACTCAGACTCCAGTCATCTCCACCTCATCAACCGCTCATTCATTTCCCTCATTCCCAAAAACTTATCCCCTTCTCTAGCTTCAGAATTCAGACCCATTAGTCTCCTCAACGGCCTTTTTAAAATTTTTACCAAAGTGTTGGCCAACAGAATCAGCCTTTTTCTTCCATATTTATTCCACCCTACCCAATCTGCTTTTCAGCATGGTAAATCAACTATTGACTCCATCATATTGGGTCATGAGGTGGTTAACCAGTGCTTTGCCAAAAAGTTAGAAGCCTGTATCATTAAGCTAGATTTTCACAAGGCTTTTGACTGTGTTAGCTGGGATTTCATCATGTCCATCCTTCAATCTAGAGGCTTTGGGCCCAAATGGTGTTCTTGGATCCCGTCCATCCTTATATCTTCTACATCGTCTGTGTTGGTTAATGGGTCTCCAACCAACCCCTTCTCCTGTCATAGGGGTCTCAAACAAGGAGACCCCCTTTCCCCTATGTTGTTCCTTCTCGTGGCTGACGTCCTGTGCAGGATGCTTCACAATAGTTATGATCATGGGGATCTCTCTGAACTCCATTTGAAGGGTATGCTCAACGACATGAAGTCCTTGCAGTTTGCAGATGACACAATTTTTTTCTGCAAGGCTAATCCCACTGACATTACCAATCTCAAATCTATCTTATATCTCTTCGAACTTACCTCTGGTCTATCTATCAACTTCTTCAAATCCAACCTGTTCTATAGTGGTAAATCAGCTTCCAAGGGACCCCTTCTAGCTAACATCCTTAATTGTGCCTTTGCATCACCTCCTTTTAAGTACCTTGGCCTTCCCATGAAAAGAGGATCCCTCTCTAGGGCTGACTGGCAACCTTTGCTCGACAATCTCCATCGTAAGCTTTCCATATGGAAGAGTAAATAGCTTTCCATTGGGGGAAGACTGGTTCTTCTCAAATCTGTCCTCTCCTCCATCCCCCTTTACTTCATGTCCTTCTTCAAACTCCCATGTTGGCTCATCAAGAAGATGTCCTCTCCTCCATCCCCCTTTACTTCATGTCCTTCTTCAAACTCCCATGTTGGCTCATCAAGAAGATTGATAAAATCAGACGTGATTTCCTTTGGGGATCATCAAGAAGATTGATAAAATCAGACGTGATTTCCTTTGGGGAGGTGCTAATGCTAACTCCAAATCCACCCACCCTGTCAGTTGGGACATAGTTTGCTCTCCAAAAGCCTGTGGGGGCCTTGGGGTCTCCAACCTTCATTCTTTCAATATCTCCCTCCTGTCTAAATGGCTTTGGAATTTCCTTGACAACAACAACCACGTAGGCAAAGTTCTCCAGTCCATCTATAACTCCAACCTGCACAACCCCTCTCACGGGTGTCAGAGCTCTAAATTCTGGAAAGATGTCACCTCCTGCTACCAATTTTTCTTTGGATCAGTCAAATGGGAACTAAGTAAAGGTACTAGGATTCTCTTCTGGGAAGACAAATGGTTAGGAGACAACTTCCTTGCTAGCTTATTCCCCAAGGCCTATCTCCTAGCCTTCTCCAAATTCATTCCAGCAGAGTCCCAAGGGAGATCTGTGGAGGGGAGATGGTTGTGGAGACCAATCCTTAGGCGTCCAACATCTGATATTACAGAAGCCAAGTCCAAGCTCTCATCCAACTCCTACATGACTCCAATCTTGCTCCTTCTTCATCTGCTGACAGACCTTCGTGGCAACTTCCAGCTTCCAAGTCTTTCACTGTCAGATCCATGTACAGATTCATCATGGATAGAGGTCACCGCTACCCATATAATGCTGTTGTATGGAATAAGCTTCTGTCTAGCAAAGTTCAGATGTTTACTTGGATTCTCAGTCTTAACAGATTGAAAACTAAAGATAGATTAGCAGCTCAGGGTTGGCTGGCAGACACCAACTGCCCCTTCTGTGATGACCATGAGTCCCACGACCACCTTTTCCTATCATGCAACTTCTCCAAGCAGATCTGGGTTCCATGGCTATCTAAAATTGGTATTATCTCTCTCCCCACAAGCATCAACCACTGTCTCTCTATCTGTTCTGACAAGTCCCTCCACTCATCCGTTAGACTTCTATGGGGCTTCAGTTTTCCTACGGTTTGTTGGATCATTTGAAAAGCTAGGAATGACTTCACCTTCTCTAATCAGTCTTCTACGCCTCAGCATATCATCAACCAGGCGGTTCACTTTCTTCTTTTCTGGACAGGTGTCTCCTCTTCCAAGAAAGCTAGTAAGTTGAACAAGCTCATCTTTAGCTCGGGGCTCCCCGATATTGCAGAATCAAGTGCAGATAGCAATGGTCTTCCTATCCCTCATGGGTAGTGGCCTCCTTGTTAGCAGTTCTTTTCATTTTTGTTTTTTCAGATTCAGATCTGGTTATACCCTGCTTTTTGTAGTTTCTGTTAGATGTTTTGTTTTGGATCTCTTCATAGAGACATCTTTTGGTGATTTGGTCTAATACCCTCCAACTCGGAGTCTCGGGCCAAATCATAATCAGATATCTTTTGTAAAAACTCTCTTTTTGGTTTATATATACATGATAGGGCAGTATGCCTTATTTTCATTCAAAAAAAAAAACATTTATCTTAAAAAAATCAAGAAACTACACTTTCTACTCGATTTTAATTAGAAGGACAAGGTTTCATAATATAACATGTTTTAATCTTGTTGACCACAACTTAACAACAAATTTAGAAAAAAATGGATACTTTAACGTGAATCTAGATTTCGTCTTACGAAAAAGGTTCTCAAACTATATTATCATTTCAAAATTTAAAATAAGATCTTCGCCTTCAAAGTTTTGGTATGATGGAAGGGTACATTACTATTTTTAACAGTTTATAAATCAATTAGATAACTTTCTCATTGCCTATAGTCGAAGACATCACATCACAAAATAATAATAATAAGTCTTTTTGACCTTCATTTTCATGTTGAGGTAAAAAATAAAGTAGAGGCAACAACCACCAACACAAACAAAGGCCAACCCTCAATCCTGCTCGAATCATCTCTCACTCAAATTTCAATCACTTTTGCTGGCCTCCTCATTAGATGCCGTGACCCTTTGCCCGCCCCCAGGGTCGACGGCGGTAAAAACGAGCTCCTGTAAATTTGATTTGACTGAATCACAGTCTCACACACGAGAATCGCGGTCTTTGTTTAGTTTGTCATCGTGTGTTTCTTTTTTTTTTCTTTTTTTTTTTCGACAGGCGCAGTTATAAAAAGCCGGCCAGAGGAGGCATCGGAATTTAATGAGCCTGTACAAAAAGAAAAGAAATCACAGATGTAGAAGTGTGGCCACTGACCCAATATCAAAAGGAAACCCTAATGTTTGTAATATTCAATTCAATCTGGTCTCTCTCTCTTATTTTATTTTATTTTAATCTCTTCTAATGCAAATGAGTTTTAACTACTCTTCAGCCCATCCTTGTTAGTTTACGACTACAATATTGTATATATATTCATTGTTTGTGTACTCCTCTTATCTGTGGCTAGCTATGTAGGCCGGTACACTTGCAGTCAATTTCCTAGGTTTAGTTTACTTTAATTAAGTTGGTCATTTAAAAATTGAAGATATTTGAGGGTTGAGCTCCTCGAGAAAGGAGAGTTGATTGACCACGCAAGCCAGTTTCATAATATTTGCGGTTCTTTTTGACCTCTGGAACTAGGCATTAAGGGGCTGTTTGGTAGGTTGGTTTTATAGAAAATTCTATATAAAATGGTTGATGATGACAGTTTTGTAAATAAATTTTTTCTGGAGATTTTTATAAACCGTGTTTAGTTTAAAAAAAAATTACAGAAAATTTTTCTATAAAGTACAGAAAAATACCTCATTTTATAAAAATTAATTTCTACTCAAAATGGGCGGAAATCACCCAGAAATCTGACGCATATATTAAAAAAAATTTAAGTATATCAGTACCCTTCTTGTGTGATTTCCCCAAGGGCATTGTTAGTAAGCTATTTTCTATAAAGTGGCATCCAACTAAATAAAAGAAAAAGAAAATAACATATTTTCTATAAAGTTAGAAACTTTTTCATATTTTGAACCAAACAAAGAAATAACAAAAAACAAGAAATATGGTACTCTTTTGAGTTCTATAATTTTTTCCTACAAATTTTATAGAAATACAGGGAAATTAAATTTTGAGTACTTTTCTTTTTCCTTTTTTTTATAGAAATTGAACCAAACAGCCCCTAAATATATCATCGTTTTGAGATCTTTTTTCTCCCTTCTGAATTAGTTTCTCCAATTAAGAATGAAAGTGGTAATCAGAAATTAGTCTCTTAAATTATTGAAAATATTATTAGGTCCCACGTTTTATAAGTTGTTTCAAATTACTTCATTAATGGCTAATCTAAACTATAGATTGTCACTATAATCCACAATTTCAAAATTCCAAATAAGGCTTTACATCATTAAAAAAAGGTTTATTGTATATATATACCCTTTAAATCATATGCATTTGCAAAAATATACCCAAATCTCAGTATTTGCAAACTACCCTTCAAATACATCAACTTTGTGAAAAAAATATACCTAAAACTAATAAATCATCAACTCGATGCTAAAATTTTGAATATTTAATTGATAATTTTTATGTTGTGATTAAAAATTATCTATCAAAGTTAACGACTAATTGTTTTGAGGCCCCCCCCCCCCCCAAATTGATGATTTGATGGGTAGTTTTACAGATAATGATATTTGGAGCTTATTTTTGTAAATTCTTATGATTTAAGGAGTATATATGCTCTCACATTAAAAAAAAGCAACAAAACGCCCTCACACTTGACAAAATAAAAATAAAAGTCCTCGCTCTCGGAAGAAAATCACAGAAACGCCCTTAAACTTGGAAAAATAAGAAAATCTACAAAAACATGCCCAAAATCATATTTATTTATTTTATTTGACAATTCGATTACAACACTTTTTTCATATTTTGAGTTATGCACGTATCGCATGCATTGGAGTACTAGTTTTACCATTGATTTGAGGAGAATTTGGGGACCTACTAACAATTTCAATGGTTTGAGGGATTGGTTTTGAAGTATGAAGATTTAAGGGGTTAATATCCCAAAAATCCTAAAATATATGTTAAATGTATTATTGTTAATTATATTGGTTATTCTATTATATATAGATATTTTCTTCACGTAAAATGTAGTTAGAGGAGGCCTGTGGGCTGTGGCCTGTAGGGGTCAGCATCGGGTTACGAGGATGTGTCCTTTTGCCCCTATGAACCAGGCAACAAATATATGTCTTCAGACTTGAATGATGGGGGTACAACTGTACAAGAGCTTTGGCTTATATTGCAGCATACTGGGGATCCAAGTTGTGTAGTGTATTACTTGCTATTTACTAACAGTTAAACTGAACCTTTTAAAAAAAAAAAATAGAAACCCGGGAAAATGGTCAAGCACGAGCAACGTGTTTTTTTTTTCAGTCTTGTAACTTATTTCACATGGTTTTCTTAATTAGTGTCAGTTGATTTGTTAGGGTCATAATGGCAATCTCCCCTAGTAGCAATTTTGGCATAAACGAGTTTAGTTCTAAATCGAAAGAAGACGGAACAATGGGGAGTTGTCAAATAGGCTCATGTCCTCTGGTAATGGGTTAAATGTAGTTAAAAAGACTTTACCCCTTATTAACCTACTAAACGTGAAAATTTTATATGAGAATTAAAGTGAGTAAACTCTCTATAACTTGCCATATACTAAAATGCAAAGGTTAGGAAAATCTTCCTACATGGGTTGAAATGAGTTAACCCATCAAAATAAGGGCTTTACTAATACTTCAATTTAGGAGGATTAAAAGTCAATTCCTCTATTTATAAAGAAAATAGTCAAAATTTTCTTTTTCCAGATACTAACAATGATCACAAAGGTTAAAATAAGTCTTACTTAACGAGTTAATAATTTAACCATTTAGATTATTAAATGGCCTGACTATTTTAACCATTCTTATTAATCCATTTTTCTTAAACCTTCACCTAACTAGGTGGTGAGCATAAAAGTAAAGTATGCTTCCCAAGAAAAAGCATTTGCACATTGTAGGTATAGAATAATAATATGACATTATTGTCATTTTAATTACTAATATTAAAAAAAAGATTCTAATATTTTTGTAAATTATATTTAAACCTTAGCATGAGTTTGCTGAAGCAGGATATTTAACGGACAATTTCATGAAGAAGTGGGTCAATCATGAGCTAAATATGGGTACATATGTATTAATGACTTCCGCAAAGAAACAATCATATCTTTCAATCTGGAAGATAGATTTTAACATATTATATATATATAAATCGCCTTCGATGATACGAGCTAACCGGATTGTCAAATTTTCAAAATATCATTAGTAATAACATAGTTTTGACTGAAATCCAAAAATAATCAGCTTTAATATTATTTTAGTAATAAAGTTAGATTCAATTTAGATTAGGAAATAAAATTTAGTTTTGATTAATATTGGACTAATTTATTTTCTCTATTATAGGGAGTTTTTTAAGGTTATGATTGGATATTTTCTATTTCTTTATAATTCTAGTCATATTAGAAGTCTAGTTTATTTTTCTATTTAAGAAGAGACATGTAACCCCAAAATTATTATATAACTTTTCACCAATAAAATTTCCTTTTTATTATATTTTCTTTGTGAATTCGAAGTCTTTCGTGGATTCGTAGATCGTTTTTTATGGATATAGAAAATAACCCTTCGTAGATTCCGAGGTTTATTACTTCCGCGCCACGTCAATTGCTAATTAAGCAACCAAGCGCAATTAAAAAAGTTGTCATTAGTGTTATAGCTCAACAAATAAAGCTATTTAAAGGTTTCATAAATTGAAAAATAAAAGAATTAATCATTATTTTTTCATAATCTAATCTCTCACTTTCTCCCTCCCTCTCTCTACCCTCCCTCTCTCTCTTTCTCATGTCAAAATCATGGAGAATTATTGGTGTCACTGAGCTCAAACAGTGATCACGTACATCTAATTACTAGCCACTATCATTAACCCCAACAATTATAAGCTCAACACATGAATTCCACACTCCTAGTAGTGCACTCGTGTTGGTCATCTCTAGGCGTTCTAATGCCCTGAGCTCCTTGTGGCCCACTGCACTCATTTGATTTGGCTCTGCACCGACCCACCTGTAGCCTACTCAAATGAGTAAANCAAGTCAAGAAAGTAACCAAATAGACTAATATGCAGGGCAGACAATACTAACGTAGAAGAAATTAAATGTCACTACGTATAACTATAGCTTCAATTCTTCTATCACTTCCAACATTAGTAAGCATCAAAATGATTTTACATTGTATGTTATTAAAAAGGCTTATTTGCACGTCTATCCCAAAGTTTCTGCACCTCTTAAACTTTCATACCTTGAAGTTATATTTTGACAATTTGATATTCTAGAGTTTTCTTGTTGACGTTATTCTTTTAATGCTCCAATTAAGCCCTAACTTTGTTCATCACCCACCCCAAAATTTAAAAGTTAAATTTAGTAAGGAAATAGTTTCTCATATATTCTTAAACAAAATTGACATAACCTTTTGCGCTTTGCTTCGCGTACCAAATTGTCAAAATAGAACTGTTGGGTATAAAATTAGAACAAGAAGAAGAATTGTTTTTTTTTTTTGGGGGTTGGGGGTGTATTATACTGCAAATAGACGTATTAAAAATAACAAAAATGAGAAAAAGAAATGAAGAAATATAATCTCTACTCATCTATGGCCATCTTCATTGAGTTCATATGAAGAAAATGAAGAACAAGAAGAAGAACATTCACCTCGATCTATTCCTCTTCTTTTATTCTTCTTCCTTTTCTCGATATTTTTTTTATCTCTTTGCCTCTGCCTTCACCTGTTATGCAATGGATTTGGACCAGTGGGCACTTTTCTCTTATCATCATCAAATGCAGTACTATTACATTTCTTCTCCTTAGAGGCGAAGCTGCAATTATCAAGCCTCAACTCCTTCATTGTAGAACTCTTCTCATTGAGCTTAGCTTGAGCAAATTTTCTTCCGATTATTTCTTTGCCCAACACTTGTTTGTTGAGGCTGAACATAACAAGCAATACCATAGCCAAGGCTAGAACAA